TATAGATTCGCCTTGCGCACACAGCACGCACCATTAAATTTTCGAATCACTCGCAGGTAGCGCAGTTATCGTGTTGTTTTTATTAGTTGTTTTTTATTTCCTTGTCTCGCTTTTCGGAGAGCTGTGAGCGAGGCTATATTAATCTTCTCGACTCGGTTCAAGTGCGCCGCGGGAAAGGATTTTCAAGATTGCGAAAAGGGAGGTATATGTGTTTCCTTTTTCTCTCTTTTTTAGGACCAAGAAGAGACGGGGGGGGGGGGGGCGAAAATATAATGCCCGCCGGGCCCTCGGTTGCTGATGATGCGGCGGTAGCAGTAGCTTCACGCAAGGCAGTAGCAAGGCAGTCAAAGCCACGCGGCGTCCATTGCCGCATCCCTTTCTTCCGTGTTCGCAGGGCATTCCCGGCGAAAACATAAAGTAAGACGTGCAGCGGAGCTTAGCCGCTGAGCACGCACACAGAGGACTAGGAAGTGACGCGACGGATGCTATACACCGCCAAGCTACCGCGGCTCCAGGCGAGCGAAGGATGGAACGGCCGGCTCGTAGATTGGCCGGTGGCATCCCTGCTATTCACTAGGAAAGGATTTCTGCTCTCGGTCGTCGGCTGGGGCCGGAATAGAAGAGCGGTGGTTTTTACGGACGAAGCCCCGCGTTTTTCATCTGTTACTATATTTATTTATTTTTTTTTCAACAGGAGCAGCGGAGGCAGCAGTCTATCGCGAGACCGCTCCGTGCGCACCTATCTGTCGGCCTCCTCCTCCGCCATCATTGAAAGCAGTTTGTACCGGGAGAGTGTTCCTTTGAATGGAAAAAAATGCCTCCCTCGTCACTTTCGCCGTCTCGCTGTGCGGTGTCCCGCGGAAGTCCGGCACGCGCGAAGTCTTGATAGTCCGGAACAGGTTAGACAGCTTCCGTGGAAAGTTTCGAAGTCGCCTAGTGGGTGTCTATGAACATATCGTTCGCCGGCCACTGTGTCGACTATTATCGTAGCCACGCTTAGGAATAATCTAGACTTTGAGACGATCACGTTTATAAACGTCCGTGTGAGTAATCCGCGCCGTTTGTCGTGTTCGTCGACGTCTCAATCGAGGAGTTATCGTTCAAGAGATAGCAGACTGATAACATGAAATGATGCACCGATAATATGGGGGAGCCTTCAGGCACATTAAATCTGCATATCACCGCCTCTCGCCTGTTCAAAACAAACTGTCCAAAACAAAGCCGCGCGATTTATTTTGTCATGTTATTCCCGCTATGAAAGTGTGTCATTCATTAAGAAAAAATTAAATCTCCCCACTCTTGCCATGCGCAGGAAATATTTCCGCTTATCTTTCTTCCACAAATGATACCACAGTGATTCGCCGTTCCGCCACACGTTCATTCACCCTGCTTTGTACATTTCCGCACGCGTTGACCATGATCATAAAATTGAACCTATATTTTCTCGCACAAAAAAAAAACACCAATACTCACCCCTTGTCTTAGCGATAACCGAGTGGAACGCTCTGCCTGTCAGCATTGCAACGCATACACAGCAATCATCTTTTCAGTCTGCATTATTTGCGTTCCTTGAATGTGTTGGACAATCTTAGGCATTGCTGTATAACGTGTCGTGCAGCTTTTTCAATGTGCTCGCTTGCGAATACCTTGCTGTGTTATTTCTTGCTTATCTTGGTTGACAGACTGTGTATCCTGCGCATGTTTTCTTGTCTTTTTTTCTTGTTAAAAATTGCTGTTGTCACTGATTACTGTATGAAACCCCCCTTATGAAATGCTGAATAATTGATTTGTAGGGTTTAACGTCCCAAAACTACCATATGATTATAAGAGACGCCGTAGTGGAGGGCTCCGGAAATTTCGACCACCTGGGGTTCTTTAACGTGCACCCAAATCTGAGCACACGGGCCTACAACATTTCCGCCTCCATCGGAAATGCAGCCGCCGCAGCCGGGATTCGATCCTTATGTAATGACCTAGAGGCCCTTAAGGTAAATAAATAAATAAATAAATAAATAAATAAATAAAGCTCCACTACTAACCCAAAGGTCGCGGGACTGAGTCCCGGCTGTGGTGGCTGTATTTTCGATGAAAGCGGAAATGTTTCAGGCATGCTGAAGATCCTCAGGTGGTCGAAATTTACAGAGCCCTCCACTAAGGCGTCTCTCATATCGTGGTTTTGGCACGTTAAACCTCACAAATTAATTCGTGCCTTTTCGACGAAACTCCTCACGCCAGCGGCCTAGTCGTTCATGTGACGTGACGAGGGAATAAGCTATCGATTTACCCATTTACGAGGAATACCAGCTGTTGATTGATATGTGGGGTTTAACGTCTCAAAACCACCCTATGATTATGAGAGACGCCGTAGTGGAGGGCTCCGGAAATTTAGACCACCTGGGGTTCTTTAACGTGCACCCAAATCTGAGCACACGGGCCTGCAACATTTCCGCCTCCATCGGAAATGCAGCCGCCGCAGCCGGGATTCGATCCCACGACCTGCGGGTCAGCAGCCGAGTACCTTAGCCACTAGACCACCGCGGCGGGGAGATTTACGAGGGATACCAGTTGTGAATTGTCTCCTATACTGAGCTTTTCCAAGCAACCGTACGCCCGTTCTGCTTTGTCAATAGCACGGCTATCGTGTGCGATAAACTCTTTTTACTTCGTTCTCCGTGTTTTCGACTGCGCGAGCTCTGATAACAGCGTGCAGTCTAAAAGCGCGAAATTATGATAGGCTCAACGCTTATCGCTGATATTGTCAACCGATTTTATGAATAAATAGGAGGTGAGAGCGCCTGCTGGTATGCATGAACGCGAGAAAGAAACCACGCCCTCGTCTTTGAACTCGCAGTGGCTTAGGAGCCCTTTAACAGCGAGTGCGTGCCAACGATGTCACGAATGAATTATTATTCAGACACCGTGGTATCACAGACATATGCAAACTAAGTATGCTACACATACGTATAGATGCGCGCACGAAACGCTAGAACACAACGTAAACACACATACTGCGCACAATCATAGGATCATCAGGCCCGTAGCCAGAAATCTATCATGGGCGAAGCTCCTAAAGGCGTGGGTCTGTCCATCTCTTGTATGTATGTATGTATGTATGTATGTATGTATGTATGTATGTATGTATGTATGTATGTATGTATGTATGTATGTATGTATGTATGTATGTATGTATGTATGTATGTATGTATGTATGTATGTATGTATGTATGTATGTATGTATGCATATATGTATGTATGTATGTACGTACGTACGTACGTACGTGACCACCTGCCTACAGTTCCACCGTTTGCCAACTGCCCACTGCTTCGTCCTTGCAAACATCCCACTACGCCCCATCACCGATCCACCGCTTCACCGACCATAAAGCAAATACTGTTGAGAAGTAGCCAATATAAAATGCAAGATGGTCGTGTACTTGTATCCAGGTGCGTGTTAAAGAACCATAGATTGACCCAATGTGTTCATCCCTTGTTTGTGCGTGACCGCCTATAGTTCCACTACTGCAAACTGCCGGCAACTTCGTCCTTGAAAACACCCCCACCCCACTATGCCCCCATCACCAACACACCGCTTCGCCAACTATAACGTCATTATAATGAAGGGGGAACGGAAGTGACGTATAGCTACCACTTACGAATAATAAAGTTTCTTGTATAAATGCAGTGTTTGTCACGTCTTTGATGATGTAGTGGGTGATATTTGCGGATGGTTCCTGGTTTAGCAATGAAACCCTCCAGCGCTTCGCCCCACTCATCATCATTCACTTCGTGGATATGCTGCGGATTTTTTTTTTTTTTTGAGTGGGGAGGGCGGCACCAGTTGAGGGCCTTGAAAACCCCTATGTCCATCATCTATTATCGGTAAAACACCCACCTCCATTCCGAATTTCGGGGGTAGGGGGCCACCCACCCCCCTCCCAGCTACGGGTCTGTGATGCACTTGCAGACTTCCAAAAGGCAGTGCCTTGCGCGCGCACGTACGTAACGTATGCAAACACACAGCACGCGCACACACACGCACAACCCACGCATACACAGCGGTCGTGCGCGGGCCGGCGGCCGGCCACTAAGTCATGCATACGCGCTGGATGCACGCGGTGGGCGCCGGAGCGAGGCCTGTTCGTCTGGCGCATCCCTCCAACGGTTCCCTCCCCCTTCTCGCGGCGGCAGTAGAAAAGAAGCGCACGGAGCGACGTTAACGTCCGACCCTCCTCTCCCGGCCAGCGCAGCCCATCGCAGCGGTGTACTCGTTCCTTTCGGTTACGCACTCTTGCTCCCAGTGCCAGTCAGCCGGGCAGCAGGTCTGCGGCAGGTCTTGCTCGCTCAGCGCTCCACGAGCCAGCGTCGTATCGGGCCGGGTCACGCCGATAAGGTCTAGCGTCGCCTTAGCGTCACGTTTGCGCGTGTCGGTGGGAGTTGGACGCGATTCCTTCAACAGCGGTGGTACCCTCCGGAGTTGGGTGATCGACCGAAGGTTGCGGCGTCGGGTGTTGACATCGGACGCCCGGCATCTGCGGTGCGGCGTTCGTCGAATGATTCGGCGCGATCAGCGACACATACGAGACCGCTTCAGGCGTACCCGGTGTTTTTTTCGCAAGTGGTATCTTCGTTGATTTTCGACTGTTTGTAACATCTCTGCTTCACTGAGTTTGCAGTCTTCATCTCTTCATCGAAAGGTAACCACCACAAACGTGAATGAGTGAGTGCTTTTCGCGCAGCTATTGGAAACAGACTTAAGCTGTGCCGGTGTTGTGTGGGGAGCACTTTCTTGGGACTTTCTGACCTCCAGTGCGTGTGTGTGTTCTTTGAGTGCGGGGAGAAACTGTACTGACTGTGTGTGTCGGCGCGATTTTGGATCGAAATCGCCTTTCGCCGAACTCTCTGGTCTGTACAGCCACTACGTCTCTGGACATTACAGGTGTGAGGACTGTGGCTAAGCAATCGAAGCGCATTCCTAAACAAACTCCTTATCGAAAAGTATTTGGTTGCTGCGTAATTTGATTGAAAAGTGCCCAATTTCTTTTAGCGGCTCTAGTAGTTAGAACGCGGAACTTCTATATTCAACTATACAATCACGTGCTTATCCGTGCGTGGTTCATCAAGACGCCTTGCTTACCGTGACTGTCTCTCCATCATCGACAAGAACGGGAAACAATAAATATGCCTGCCATCGAATTCGGCGTAAGCTTCACCGTGCACGTGGATACCGGCCAACAGGACAGTTCACAGCCGCTGTTCCCAACTTCCGGACATCAGTCTACCCGTCCGGTACCAACAGTGTCTCGTGCCTTCGATCAACAAACAAGCCTACGGCGGGGAGCGCTCCGAGATAAGGGCTCCATTGACGACATACTGCACTGCCGACGTCAGCCCAGCCACGATGCCCGCTTTGGGTGACTGATACTGGCTGAGTAGGAAGAAGAAACGATCTTTGTCCGCGGCGTCTTCTCCTCTGAGCAGCCGGTCCCGTTACAAGGCACGCACTTGCCTGCCCATCCACTACTGACACTGAAGCTTCTAGAGCAAACAAGGGAGGCAGGCGCTCATCGGCCCCTTGTTGCTTCCTGACGAGCCTTCTACGCTCCACGTCGGCCTTGCACCGCCGACGTCTGCTTCTTTGACGACGTCGAGGTGGGAGAGGAGATCATCTTGCCGGGATTACAGGCTGCGCGTCTGCGCCGACCGACAAACCTGGCTCCCGCTCTCCGCTGGCTCCTTGGCCGGGAAGACGACAGGTAAGGTATACATACACAGCGTGCCTGGCTAGCCGTCTCGGTGCGATTCGTCTGTCTTCCTGATTGCGCGGGCCGCTCATGAGGCCACCCTCTACACGCCTCCTATACGCGGCAGTCGTGGCTTCGTGTGTTTGTCTCTCTTTTTTATTGTGCTTACTTCTTTTTTCTTCTTACTCCTCACGGACCGTTCTTCGTTTTATTCATTTGCTTCTCTGGTTATCGTTCCTCCATCGCCGTGCGGGCCTCTCGCGTTTTCTCGCTCGAAATCGCTTTGTTCCTGGGACTCGCACTCGTTGGGGTTCCCGGAGCGCATTATAAAGCTCCGTAAAAGGGCGCCCGATTGTTTCCCGCGTTTTTATTTCGTTCTTCTTCTCAGCTTATTTCGTTCCTCTTGGCGCAGCGACTCCTTTTAGATTAGGAAAGTGAGCCTCTCGCGCGGGAAGCGGATAGGCTCGGAAATTTTCGGCGTGTTCGCTTTATGTACCTACGGTGGGAGGATTCACGAGCGTCTTTCTCCGCTCCAGTAACTATATACCACGGAAAGTGTGCACCCGTGCCAAGCTGGCCCAAAACTCTAAACGGACGGAAACAAGGCCGACAGGACCTTGCAAGCTCCTTCGCTCGCGAGCGCCCGTTCCGTGATCACGGGATCGGGCCAGGTGCGTTATTAGAACTGTTTCCGGCGTTCAACCAACAATCCTGATCCTCTTTCGAGGAGGCAGGATTGGCATGACAAGCGCTTACAAGAATTTAATTGAACTTACGAAGAACATCTATAAATATGGATGGCCATTGCTGACGCACCTTAATTACCCATGTTGAAGTACCAACATGGGGGGAAGCAACATTTGTCATGTGACGTTGACGTTACCAGTACATCGAACGAAGGTTCTTCCTTTATTCACGCATAGAATCCAATAACATTCCGGTCACGTTGTTGTTAAACTGAAGAAGGTTACCTTCGACGTAAACTTGCTCAGGGGGCTGCCCTGACATCATCGAGGCGACCATGTTGGAGTGTACCAGTAAGTGAAAAAGCTGCGCCCATGACTTCACATGCAAGCCATCTGTACCAAGCGAGGATCTGCGTCTTTCTATTCTTGTGTGTGTGTGTGTGTGTGTGTGTGTGTGTGTGTGTGTGTGTGTGTGTGTGTGTGTGTGTGTGTGTGCGTGTGCGCGCGTGTGTGTGTGCGCACGTGTGTGTGTGCGTGTGCGTGTGTGTGTGTGAACAAGAGAGGTTACTTATGATTATTATTTGATCGCTCCTCATGACAAATAGTACTAATAAAACATTTGCGCTCCATTTAGTTTTTTAACGACGCAGCGGGATAAGTTTAAACGGCAGCGCACCAAAACAAAGGACCCAGAACACTCCTGTTAAAAAATAATAATTCAATTAGGACGTTTTTTATCAAAATGCTCAAGTTGAATTAGGTTACTTTTAGGTGATCTGAGGGGAGCGCATCTTTGTATGCAAGTATACAAGTTGCTCCAAGTCAAATAGACCTGCACTTTTTTTTATCGATGCATCGCTTCTTCTTGACATGCAATTTGCCTAGACATGAGCGGTGGTACCGCGCCGAAGAGTATAAAAAGAAAGAGAGAAAGAACCTCACCTTCTATGAATCACCTGCGGCTGATGCGTGCTGGTCGATAGATCCGTATAGTACCAGAGCGTAAGCACTGGAAAAGCGTATATATAGGACAGTCCTAGCCCACAGCGATATTGTAAATCCGCCTATGGTCTTTTTGTGCACGAGCTCGCACAAGAACAAGCGTGTACTTCCCGAAACAACGTTTATTTTTCGGGTAATCATCGTGGGGCCCATCCCGCCACTGTTATCAAATTAGGGATAAACACATCCCATGTGATGTATCCAGTGTTATGGTTGCAGCAAATTACCGGCAGCATTCGTTGCTACGACTGTGGTTGTCGTGCGCCGACTTCTCGTAAGTGCGGGGCCTTTACGGAACGAAAGAATGGGCGGAGAGGCGAGAGATTTCTTCAGGCGTGCTTTGTTTGTGGAACGGTCCTTCATACCACCACGTAACCTGCGATATGACTGAGACGTTATAGAAGTTATCTTCTTTCTTTACCATACTTATTTCTATGAGAAACCAATTGGTAGAACAATTTGGTCAATTCAATCAATTTGGTAGAACATGCTGTTGTATACAGATGCGCTTGATCGTTTGCACATCCGTGAGTGCGTATGCGTGCGCGTTCATGTATCAGTCGTCTTTTACAAGGTTTTACGCCACACTGCCTCTAGTGATTCCATGCTAACCAATCTGTAATTGTCAGAGAACAAACGGTTGTTTAGGGAACGTTAGTCGAAATCAAGAAGGAATGGGCGAGGGCCCGGAGGGTGATGCCAATTTAGGCGCTAGTTATGAAGATCAACAGAGTGGATTCCAAGAGGAGGCAAAGGTTCGAGGGGAGACAGTCAGTTAGGTGGACAGATAACATTCGGAATTGGCGGGTATAACGTGGCATCAGGTAGCAGAGGACCGCATTTATTGGTGAAACACGGGTATTTGCCCTGCAGGTAGCTGAGAATTATGACGTCAAAGAGGACGTCAAGGAATGAGAGAAAACAACCGTTTTCAGAAAGATCACTGCGGTATGTGCGTATAGCTGTTAGTGCTGATGATTTTTGTTGTTTTGCGTGTTTCTGAAATGGGCCGATAGCATTTCGTCTTAACAATCGCGTTCGTTATGGTCGAATGTCGCAAGGTTGTTCTAGGTTGAAGTGTTCACTAATGTAAATGTATATCGAGCACAATTGTCATGGCGACGGAGATAAAAACAGAATTTGATTTTTTTTTTATCTCTGTTTATCGGGGGTATTGAGCTCTGCGCCGCTTCCCACTGCGACCCAAAAAAAAAAAAAAAAGCCCGGTCAGTGATCCTTGGTTTCAATGGAAAGATTCAGGTCCCTCCTTCTCCTACTCATCACCACCACCACCACCACCATTATCATCTCCTCTTCATCATTAGACACGCATTATATACGACACCACACATATCTCCTTCCTGTGGACAACCTATATGTACACGAGTTCCCAAATCGATAGCGCTCCGTAGACAGTGCTTCCTGTCTCTTACAAACTGGTGATTTGCATACTGATGCAACCACACCTTGTCGACCAGTCCAGTCACCGTTTTGCACAAAGCTATTGGCGCTACATCAAATACGCTACTCATAATTTCTAGACTAAAGCTATAGATCGCACTTACGAAGCGAGGTTTCCTATCACCGTGTGTGGTTCTCTCTCATGAATGGGTTTCAGTGTATAAAAAAAAGATGATATGGTGGACGAGGAATGAAGCGAGCAGGCATAGATGTAATGAATGTACTAAATTAACAGATAAAGGTGTGCGTACAATCATATGTACGTGTACTATTTATGTGAGCAAATGGGGCGTATAAACACGTTGAGAATCTTGGGGAGTGGTTTTATACATCCTACAGCCGCCATATACCTGCACCTTACCTGAATATACGCTGGCCTGTCGATGCGGGAGTGAGCGCCGATGTTACCCCTTAGCGACGCCGGCTCTTCATTTGGAGATACGACTTACCTTTGTGATTTCTGCGCACTATTTTCAAGGAAGAGACTACGAACACTGGGCTATTGGTCAATTGAGCATGTTTGTTACCTAAAGTTTCCTTGTGTCACTGCTGGTTGAAATATTTTTTTTTGCACATGACCACTTTGATGAAGGAAGTAATGCGTTTAACGAAACATTGGACGTGAGGCGTTTCACCTGGGATTTCGAAGTGCTATTTATCTCTTTTTATATATCATCACTACCAGCAGATAATCGTCTGGCGTAACTTCAGTGCGGCGTTTAATTCGGTTTATGAAGACATGTACCATGAGTCCATGACTCACTGTACAATAATAAGAACATTAAGTTACGTTGTAAGCGTGATTAGCTGATGCAGGATAAACCTCAATTCCTTCTATCATTTCCACGTCCAACGCCATTTGCGATATCTGCGCTACTGAGGAAACTTTGCAGAATATCTTTGGCGGTCCTCGCTACGCTGTGCTGAGACGATCCCTCGCAATCGCTCTCGCTCGCCTCGACCGCTGACAGATGTCGCTAGCAACTATCCTCGAATGTCGTAACGAAAATTCACGGAGAATTAAATCAATGAGGTCAGACTTCTGCAGACTTCTACGAGCTGCTGTATACTGATAACGATGCCGTATGCCGCACAATGCATGGCTCTGTCATGAAACCACAGGTTGGCAAAAAAAAAAAGTGGAACTCATTCAGACTCGCTCATGAAATATATTTTGCTCCCATAGGATTCACTCACACTAAGACTCACCAACATTTTCCTGAGTCGGACTTACTGGGACTCAAGCTCGCCAAATATTACTCACTTGTACTCACTTAGACTCAGACTCCCTGCTCCGTCTGAATGAGTCGACTCAAGATACAGTTCGCGGGCCTATGGTCTTTGTATGGGTGCCCCCCCCCTCTCTCTCTCTCTCTCTTTCTCTCTATTCCTTTCTTTCTTTACACCTGCAGCTTTAAAACTATTCGTCCCATTCCCCGGTGCAGGGTAACGCACCGGTTATGCTAAACTGCATTGCCAACAGGCCTGCTCACTAGTCCTGCTGGTCGACTGCTAAACCTGCCTTTCCTCTTTCTCCTGTTTTCCTTCCATTTTCCTTAAACTTCGTCTCCACATTTTTGGCATTAAGTTGTGCAAATTTCACGCATTTATACGGTCGACCATTTACTGCGGGTCGCAAAGAGTTCCGTGTCGTACGATAAATGATACGGTCTATAGAAGGACGTACGAACGATTTAGGAGCAGCCACTTCGGCCGGCGCGAACGGAGTCGCAGTTTGCGAATCGGGGCTATTATGCCGAGAGGAAACACGAGAGCTTCGAGGTCACGGTGGCGTGGACGATTCGTTGAGGGCGCTGCGCTGTCGGCAGGACCGCGGCTGAAGTGCTCGAGTCCGGAAGGCGA